AGTGTAGAACCTTCGGGCAGACTACTTAAATTAGACAATGACTAAAGTTGTATGAGTGGCTAGTTGTACACTCTTCCTATGGTTGCCCCCTGTGGTTGTAATGCAACCATTAGCCAAATATACTATCAATAAAATCCTGAGTCGCAAGTACTTACCTTAATATTTAAAAAAAAAAAAATCTATATTATATATAAAAATTATAGTTTATATATAAAAATTTTATTATATAAGTTTATATTAGAATTTAAACCTATATAAAAATTTTATATAATATTTATATAACTTTATAAAATTATATAAAATTTATAAAAAAACAACTTTATAATGAAGATAGAAGTATGACTTCATTATTAATTTTAATATATATAATACAATAATATTTATATGATTATAATCTTAATAAGTTATTTATTAAATATACTTAATATTCTAATTAATATGATTGTTATTCTAATACACTACTTATCTAACTCTAATATTTTAATTAAAACTTATTATAAATACTTAATAAATTTTCTATAAAAATAGAAGAAATATAAGATATAATGATTTAGTGAAGTAAATAAGTTATCAACCTCTCAAATAATAGGTTGTAAATTCAAAACTTATAGATGATAAATTTGAATTTTTTTATCTATGTTATAATAACTATTTCTAACAATTGAGTTAAGATATTTGTAATTATAATTATATTAATATAACTAGCAGATTATAAAATATCTATATAACTGATTATATAAAGAAATATAAACCAATATCAAATAATGCAAATTCTAGATAAGTTTTTATGATTGTATAAATTTGTAAAAATTGATAAATAAGAAACTTATTTAGAAAGATCCAAATAAAAAAGTAATACAGATATTTAATAATACTACTGTAAAGACTAAATCTAGAAAATAAAACTAATATGAAATATTCAGATAGATAAGAATCTTTGAATAAGAAGTACTACTAATTAGAACATCAGAATTCTAATTAAAAAGACCAAAAAAAAAGATATTAGGTCAACTTGATATATTGATAAATTAATTGTAATATTATATAGACTATCTAGACTGAAAATCTGCAAAAAAACAAAAATATATAAATACTAGAAATATGCTGTGAAATAGATACTGAGATTCAAGTGAACTCTACAAGAATATAGTAGTTTAAAGATTAACTCTGATTGTAAGTGTTGATACAATCATAATGATACCTGGATCAACTATAAAATAGGTATACAGCAAGTTCTGAAAGGTTTATCTTAAGAATAAATTTATCCTAAGATCAAGACAAGGATCCAAGTTTGACCTAATAAAGTTAATATGAGACAGGTTCAAAAGATTTAAAATGAAACATCCAAACAGAAATGTAATATGATCATTGATGAAGAATATCAAGTAAACTCCTTAAATAAGTAATATAGAAAATTATATAGGTGATCAATTGTACACTCCTCCTGTAGTAGTTCCTTATAAAGCTATATTACCCAAAAATGTGTTAATAAAATCAAAAGACCAAAGAAATCACCTTAATATCAAAAAAAAAACAAGTTAACAGAAATTCTCTTGTCTGGAAAAAAACCAATTTATATCCTATCAATTACAAATAAAAAAAAATTACTGTAAAACTGTGAAATAACAACCATAACGTTATTTCGATCTCGGCCAGAAGTAAGCTTAAATTTAGACCAAAATTCATAATTTTACCCTTGTGCATTATTTCGCAGTTTTATGGCAGAGCACAAATAAAATTTTGGAAATTTCCATTTGCATGTGACAATTTCTGGCCTAACTATTCAACAGCCGGAAAATTTCTGAATATGATATCATATATACATATGTATATAAATATCAATAAATATTACAATATTTCATAGGCAGAAGTTCATCTGATTGGTTAATGAATTCAATTTAATTTTACATTATTTATACAATTTAGCATACTTTTTAAAAAAATGAAAACCAACCATAATAATGTAAAAAAAACTATATAGAAGGTTTCAATAGATCTGTAGGACTCCATAGGCAAAAATAAGATCTAAATTAGCTTAGTAATAAGTTGATTTTATCGGGTTTTGAGAAGTTATTACTATACTAACTTTTTTAAACAGACGAGAATTAGATCTTATTTTTGGCTATGGAGTCCTACAGCTCTAATGAAACCTTTTATAACCCTTTTTTCATTTCATTATGATTAGTTTTATTTTTTTAAAAAAAGTACTTTAAACTGTATAAATAATGTAAAATTAAATTGAATTTATTAGCCAATCAGACAAACCTCTGCTTATGACTTTGAAATGGCTTTAAGTTTGAATAATAATCGTCTATAAAATCTCATATTATATGATATGAAGGTTTCCTATCATTATAGTAGGAATGTAGTGCAACGAAGAATCTGGTTTACTTGTATCTTTTTTGCATTTGATTGAATGATTCATTCGCCGATTAGGAATTGATATGTGTCATTCGTAAATCGTGGAATGACATATTATTTCAGAATCGGTATCCATTTACCAATTAATCAAAAACAAGCGAAAAAATCAAAAAAAAAAACAATTAAAACAAAATCAATTTAAAAAAATAACAAACAAAATACAAATAAATTATAATACTCTAATATCTCTCTAATTTAAAGCTGATTTAAACGTTTTTGGTTGGTCTAAATGATAATCTTTATCATATTTGTGGCGCTTGTAGTTAAAAATGTTTTTGGTTGGTTTAAATGGTAAACGTATCTCTGTTGCTTTACCAGGAACGGAGTTTGTACAACGTGCAACGTAGTTATGCCTTGTGATTTTGTGTAGCATCCCGAACAATGTTAAAAAAGGAAACGATATATCGATATGTGCAACCGAACGGAGTTTGTACAACGTAAACGTAGTGTATGGTTTATAGGCGAGTCTTTTGCATCTGATTGGTTTATCCTAATGACACATGCAATAAAAATATGCTAATTATACGTTTGTCTTTTAAATTTGTGTTATGTACATGAAACGTTCTTGTTTTTATCTGTTTTTTTTGCTGTTCTTGATTTTTGAATTATTTATGTATTTGCACACTACAAGTTTAGATTTTTGATGATACAATAAAATTCACATTACGTGAGTAGAGAACGGTTATTCTGAAATATCAATATGTTAAATTTCTTTATTTAGTCATCTATTCATACAAAATACTACTTATTTATTATTGTGGATTTTAAATTTACTAATGTGCATGATTTACATCTTGTATCTACCTGTATTGATAATTCAATATCTTGAAATTGAATCTCGAATAGGATAGTCTGTCCTGTAACTTTACCATGGAATTTCTATACTTCTATTAGGAACGGGCTTTTCTGTCTATATGAAGCTTGATTTTTCCTAATTTACATATGAGGCTTCCCTACCTATGTATAGCAGGCTATGTCTTAATTTTACGAGCATGCGTATTACCGGTCACCAAATATGTTCCATGATCTGCGATTTAATACTATTAATCACGTTATCTTTTTTTTATTACTTAAATTTAACTGTTAGTACTACTATTTTGTTTCTTTAACTATTATTGAACTGTTAATAAATTAATTGCTTAGATACCGTGATTCGGGATTCGGCGAGTCTTCTCTACTCTCTTTCAATTCTCGCGTAACCTACGGCGGCTAAGTCGAAATAGGCGTGTTAGATTTGGCTGATGGTTTATCTGTAGGTAAGTACTGGTCTCCTCTTTGAGTCTTTCCTTCGACCTATTCTTCTATTAACCTTTGCCTTCTCTTGTCTTCTCTTGTATGCCTCAACCCGGGATTACAATACGTCGAATCGGGGTTGGAACTCTTCTAGGACGTTAACGACTTTCTTGGACACGTAACTTGCGGCGAGCGATCAATGGTGAGTTTAGTGGTTTATGTCGAACGATAGGGATAACAACGGGATTAACGATAGCTTACTAGTTGGGTGGAATATTACTTTCACGTTTATTAGGGGTCGGATATTTATTGTTATTAGGGAGTTTGTTGGTATATGGGACCACCTTCCCTTTCCCAAGGCAGAAATGCCCTTTATTTATAACAAACGTTTTATTTACATTTGCAATTAATTTCTTTTATAAACGCAATATATTCCTTATACTCTATATATTAACTAAATATAATAACAGGTCGATATTTCATTTATCGTATAAGTAACTGAAATAGCATAAGTAACTGAAGTAACTGAAGTAACATTTCCGTTACTTTTCGCGTGACCTCGGATCAGGTAAGGTTCGTCGCTTCGATTCGGGCACTCGTGATCCCAAAAATCGGGCTCACAAGACATATCTACTTAATATATGAGGTTATATTATGTTAAAGTTATCTTTGAATGATGAAATTAATCATTTTTATATGACAATTTTATAAAGATATTTTTTTAAAAAATAAATAAAGTTTATTAAAATTAATTTAAATTCTGAATATTATTTATTTTCGCCAGTGGCGATATCTCCGATCATGTGATAAACCTTCCACACTGACCAATCATATAACGTTGCACATCGAAATATAATTGAAAATCTTTTAATACGTATTGCAGTTCTGTTTTTCTTAACTATAGAAGATGAGAATAGTACCTTAATTTACAGCAGAGACAGTGCCAGAGTTAAAGTGAATCCATCTCGCCTGTGATAAATCACAAATTAGATTATTTATGTTAAATTCAATTATGATAGATATAATTTCTTATCAGTTTTAATGTATTTATCACATTAGTCACAATCTGAAGCATTGGTAACAAAAAAAACAATAGAAAAAAAATAAAAACCTTATTTTATTTCTTTTTTAAATACTTATAATACTTGTTGAAATTTAAGCAATAATATGTAGTTTACAGCATCTGTAAAATTCAAATAATTATAGTAAGTTTTTTTTTGATAGTAATTGTTATAATGTAAGTACACATTAATATAAATAGGGTATTTTAGACTTGAAATTGAATTTAAAAAAAGGATACACATTATAACAAAACTTAAAAGTAAATTATTTTATAAGCATATTCCAGTTTTTTTTACTTTTAACAATGTTAAGTTAAATTTTTAAACTAAAAACATATTCAATATTGATATTTTTTTTTTTAAATATTAAGATAAGTACTTGCAACCCAGGATTTTATTGATAGTATATTTGGCTAATGGTTGCATTACAATTACAGGAGGCAACCATAGGAAGAGTGTACAACTAGCTACTCATATAACTTTAGTTATTGTTTAATTTAAGTAGTTCACTCAAAGGTTCTACACTAACTGCCATATCTGAAACCTGCTTGTAGGTTCTCTATTTAATTACTCAGTTTTCATATCCACTCACTTACCTCTGCCTACCAACAACTCTGGCTGATGCCAGTGAAAATATGGCATAGTCATTAAGTCTTTAAAGCAGTTCACTCATATGAGAAACCTTTGACCTTGTTTAAACTTTTCAGAATCTTCTGTATTCCATTCTTACAGCTGACCTGGTATCACTATAGCTGAGACTAACTGGTGATCAGATCATATCATTAAACTACTATGTCTTAGTAGTGTTCACCTAAATCCTGATACTAACTTCACAACATATTCTTACTACTTTGATATTCAATTCAAGTTTCACCAAGTTGCCATTCTAGATACTCTAAAAAGATAGATTAAAACCCACCTTTGGTTTACCTGTTTCCAGCATGTATTTTTTTTTTTCAGAATCTAGAAATTCCAATAGCTTGGTTGATTCATCTGGTCCCTTCTCAAAGACTGGTACATTTGCCCAGTTTCACAAGTTATAGCTCTGTTTTATAAGTTTAGTCTTTGCAATAGCATTGTCAAAGGTTCAGGTTACCTCTCTACTTAGATCTTCCAAGTGGGTTTCTATATTTCTACCTAGTACCTATGATTTACACAGCCTAAGGACTTATTTTGGATTTACACCACCTGGTACCAGTTTATGTTCTCTTATACAACATTGTATGAATGCCTAAACCTTTCAGTTATGCTGATATGACACAGGTTACAGGTATCTTATTCTAACTAATCATGAAAGACAGTTAATCATAACACAGAAAAAATTGCAAATTTTCACTGTCACTGGAATTTGAACTCTAGACTTGCCACTTGGAGGTTGACAATCTATTCACTTCACTAGGTCACTACACTTCTGATAATTTTTTTTGTTCTGTTCTATATAATAAATTATTATTAAAAAGTAATGTATCTTTATTTATAATGTTTAAAAAGATTATATTACTGCTAAGAATACAATTAAATTTCTAATTTACAATTATTTATTCTTCAATTTAGATAAACAATTGCTTATAATATATTAGTAAGCCTCTTAGTAACTTAATATTATCTTTATTGAAATTATAATCTAAAGATACTTTATTTATAAAGACATCAATGATTCTGAAAACACTAATAATCCTGAAGACATCAATGATTCAAAAAATACCAATAATTTAAATACATCAATATTCTTGAAAACATCAATGATCCTAAAGATATCAATAACTCAGTAGATAATTTTTTTATATTAAACTATTCTCTTTTAGAGTTAGAAGTTTTTATTCAGTAATTAGGATATAAAAACTTATAGCCAAAGCCTCAAAAGAGTTATTTTTATATTAAAAAGTACAACTAGTCACACATATATATTTAATGTCTAATTTAAATAGTCTACTAATAGTTTTATACTAGCTGTTATATCTACAATTTAACTAAAGGCATTGCTTATTTAAACACTCTATATTGCAATACTTACTGTATTACTAGATCATTTCTAATACATATATATATCAGTTAAGAAGATCTAAATGCTTATCTGTAAACTTAAAACCTTATATCTTATTTTATACAATATATCTTTAAAAGCATTATTACTAAAATGTTTTATATCTTATATATAGTTAACTTAGTTTTATATAATATACTATAGTTAACTAATATTTGCAATTAAAACTAATCTTAAACTACTATATTAAACTATTTTTATACTTATAAAATTTATTCAAGTCTAGTATTTATCTTTCTAATATCTTCTTTATCATCTTTCACTAACTACAACTTAGAACTAATAGGATTCTCAGACTTTTAATTTTGATTATCTAATATAATATACTTTAGTATTTTTTTTTTTAGAATTCTAATAGCCTAATTGATTATATGCTTATTTATACATTTTGTAATCTAAATTATCTGCCTATCTCTATAAAGGTATTTTGTAAACTTTTATTAGTTCAATAGTACTGTTAAATATTTGTGCTACTTTTTTACTTATAAATTTCTAAGTGGAATTCTGTTTTCTTGGTTTTTTAGTCTTCTGTGTCTGGTGGTTTTATTGTATATTTGTATTGAAATTTTATACAATACTGGTTATTAATATTTCTTTATATATATATAATGTTACATATTATACAAATACTCTGAACTTCTAATAACAAGTAAGACCCATCTTGATATATCTGATTACAGTCATATGAGGTCAATCAATTAACAGAAGACAGTTTCTGTAATACAGATTAATTTTCAAATTTATCATAAATAAAATTTGAACTTTAGACCTGCTACTTGGAAAATGACAATCCAATTATTATATTAGGATTATTATTTTTTTCTGTAAATAATTTTGTAGTTACCAATAATTTTAAAATAACAACAATTTTGAAAATATTACTAATTCTAAAAATTCTGATATTATTATTAAACTAATTATTTTTATTACTAATTTTTTTTTATAAATATTTTTTGAAAAAAGTTTTAAACATTATACTAAAGAAAATAAATTAAAACTAATAAAAGATTAGTAAAATATAAACAATAAAACTGAGTATTATTTATTAGTATTTTGAATATAAATATTCTAAAAATCTAAAATTAAAGTTTGATATAATTCAAAAAACTAATTCAAAAAAAGTTTAATATAAATAGCAATGTAATACTAGTTATAGAAAAACTAAAAAAAAATTATATTAATTAATTTATTAAAATATATAATTATAGTCTTTTACTATTTTATAAGGAGTTTGTTTCATCTTTGTAGTAATTGTTATAAAAAATTCTAAATAAAATAAAGTTCATAACACAAAATGTAAATATAATGCTTATTAGCAAAAACCTATTTTGTTAATAAGTTTTTCAAGATTAATATCTATTCTAAAAACTTTATAATATAATATAATGATATAAATTCTCTACAACTGCTAATATAAAATAAGAATACTGCAATAATGCTTAAATATTTAATTTCAAAATATTGCAAAAACCTGAATTAGAAGATTAATATATATTTTAAAGATATTAAAACTTTCTTGACTCATTTGTTCTGACAGAATTCTAATTAATCTTAGTTTTATAAATACTATAATAATATAATTGTAAATGATAATACTTATTTTTTTTTAATATTAAGGTAAGTATATGTAATCTAAAATTTTATTAATAATATATATTGGCTAGTATCTGTTAATATAACAGACACAGAAGCAATTATAAAAAGAGTATACAACTAGCCACTTGTATAACTTTAGTTATTGTCTAATTTAAGTAGTCTGCCTAAAGGTTCTATACTAGTTGCTATACCTAGAACCTATTTGTAGATCCTCTATTTAAATACTCTAATTCTATATTTACTACATCTTATTAATAACTCTGATGAATTTATAAAAATATGGCATGTTTACTAAGTTATATTTAACTTTGTACTAAATTTATTAGAGTATTTTGTATCTTATACTTATAGCTCATCTGATATTGTTTTGGCATAAATCATCACTTGTAGTCAAAACTAATTATTAAACTGCTATATTCTTATAAAGTTTACCCAAAACCCCAATACTTATTTTTCTGACATCTTCTTCATTATTTCTTACTAACTACTACTTAGAACCAACAGGATTCTCTAGACTTCCAATCTAAATAGCCTGATATGCTATATTTTAGTATTCTTTTTTTTAGCAATTCTGGCAGCTTGGTTAGTTATATGCTTCTTTATACATCTTGTCATCTAGTTTGTTTTGTTTATCTTTTTGGGAATGTTTTATAAGCTTTTATTAATTCAACAGCACTATTAAAAGTTTTGTGCTACCTCTTTACTCAAACTTTCCAAGTGGGCTTTTGACTCTTCAGTTTTTTGCTTTTTATATCTGGTGGTCTTATTATAAGTTTGCATCAAAGTCTTACACAACACTAGTTATTAACATTCTTTTATATAAATATAATATTACACTTTGCATAGATATCCTAAGCTTCTACTTAAGATAATGCAACTAAAAGTTACAAATACACTAATCCAACTGATCAATAGAGACAGTTACTATAATATAGGTATATTTTCTAAAATTCACTGTCCATGAGATTTGAACTCTAGATCTGCCACTTGGAAGTTAACAACCTGACCACTTTACTAGATTACTACACACCAATAATAATACTTGTAAAACTAATATTTACTATATATTACCAAATATTTTTGTGAGTATTAATTTATATAATAAAACAAGATTACTTATATAAGCACTAGTTCAGAATAAAATACAAGTTACTTTTGAATAAAACTTACTATTTTTAAAAACTTTAAACAATAACATTACCTTACAAATAATCTTTACAAATAGTGATTTTGAGATGACAATTACAACTTATAGTATGTTTTTCAATACCAAAGATAGACATTATTTATTTTATATTAATAAAACATTTATAAACACTTTGCAAAAAAACTTGTATATGAGGGTAAGTTAGTAGAAATGCACTATATTTTTTATAAGTAAATTATTTTAAAACTTTAAACAAATATAACTCAACAACAACTTAATTAAATTTAATAAAAGTTTTTTCAAAACAACTATAAAAACTTATAGAATTTATTAAAAAAAAATTTTATTAAATTTGATTAAGTATTTGCTAAGTTATTTTTGTTTAAAGATTAAAAAAATTTTATTAAAAATAATATAGTGTGTTTCTACTGACTCACCCTATATGATTAATACAAAAAATTTTTGAATCAATTTTATTATACATGTAATTGTAAATATGTAAAACTTTTTGAAAATAAATAACAATAATTATTAAATAATTTTCTGAATATAAGTAGTATATAAAAAATTATATAAATTGACATGAATAAACTTTGGTTTATGCATAATTAACATTTTGTACTAATATAAACAGTATACAACATGTTGAAAATTCTAATGCTATTTTAAAGGCTAAAGTTGAAGTATGAACTACATTTATAAAATTAGTAGAAAATTTAAAAAATAAATTAATAATAAAACCAAATACTAATTTAAATTGAATATTAAAATCAGCTTTTATTTATTAGTTTGTTTACAATATATAATACTTTTTTTTTAAAATTAATAAAATCTTAAAAAAATATTTGATCTCTAAAACACTTGAGCTTCAAAAGTTTCAAATCAACCAATTGTGTCTTTATTACTTCTACTAAATTAATCTGTTAACTTTTAACCAAGTAAATATTAAAGTTTAAACCTATGCTATTTTTTTATTATTAATTATTTATTTGATTAAAATAATTATTCTGATTATGTTAATAAATTTCTTAAAAATAATTACTAGAAAAGTTATATACTACTTTATTAATACTTAAATTAGTTAAAAGTCAACCTATTTATAAGATTTGGCATATTGGATTATTTAACAATTTAGTCTTTTGTAAAAGATAATATATTGTAGTTTTAAATAATAGTATTTATTTATATTTCTAAATGTTACTTATTACTAAAGTCTTTTTTGCTAGCACATTTTTTTAGTTCTGGTTGTCTCTTTACTTATTAATTTCCAAATACAAATGATATCTTAATGGTGATTTACAAGTTTTATAAATACAATTAAACAACTAATTACTATTCAAATTACAATAATATAACAGACATATAATAAATACAAAATAATAAATCAGAGAATTACTTGCACTTATTGAATAACTTTGAGACCCAAATTATTTTAATTATAAATTTAACAATACTTTTTCAAAAAAGCTAAATATTGTTGAAATATTGAAATTACTAAAAAAAAAGTTTGGTTTTTTTTTAATACTAATACAATAAATAAATTTATTAGATTAATATATGGTTTTATTAAGCCAAAATCTATTAAATTTAATAATTTATTAGATAATTTTAGAATAGTAATAAAATTTTCATATTATTTTATATTGTAATTAACCAAAAAAACAATTACAAAATTCTTTAAATAATATTAATAGACCAGGTTCTCAAAAAATTCTTTAATCAAATAAAGTACTTTGTGAATCTAATATTACAAACAAGTTAATATATAAATATTTTTATTATAATAATACTAGTCATTATACTAAAATTTGCAGTTTAAATTCTAATAATAAAAGATATTATAAATTAGAAGAATAATATTAATGTTGGCTATTAAAGTTTTTAATTAATCTAATTTTATGCAATAGCATTTTTGCATTTATTTACTTAATTTTTAATTTAAATAGTTTTTATTATTAAAATGATTAAAAATATAAACTTTGTAA